TACTATACAATTTGCAGGCAAGAGAACCGAGTCATCGCGCATTCTGTATTTACATAGATCCTAACAAACTGCGAGGGAATCAGCGTGTGAAGCAAAGCGCACATAGATTAGCTGGCTAGACCCGATCTACCCGGTCAAATAATGTCGATTTAGAGCCGATCCAAGCGGTCAAATAATCATATCTATGAACAGGCTCTCGGGTATGGATTCAGGGTGCTGCGGGTATGGGTAGGGCTATGGTAGGGGTCATCCCGGGTATGGATAGAGTACTGTGGGGGGTATGGACTAGGGGTATACCGGGTATGAATAGGGCTACTGTGGGATCACCCCGGGTATGTGTTGGGTATACCGGGTACAGATAGAGTGACTATAGAGGACATGCCGGGTATGGATACAGTACTGTGGGGGGTGTCCCGGGTATGAACTAGGGGTATGCTGGGTATGAATAGGGGTACTGTGGGATCATCCCGGGTATGGATTGGGGTCATGCCGGGTATGGATTGGGGGTATGTAGGGCATCGATAGGGGTGTATGCCGGGTATGAATAGGGCTACTGTGAGATCATCCCGGGTATGGATTGGGGTCATGCCGGGTATGGATAGGGTCACTGTAGGGGTCGTGCCGGGTATGGATTGGGGGTATGTAGGGCATCGATAGGGGTGTATACCAGGCATGAATAGGGATACTGTGAGATTATCCGGGGGATGGATTGGGAGGATGGCAGGATTAGATAGAGAGGTATTGCTGGTACAGATATGAATAAACGATAGTTACGTGAGGTTTGGAGGTCGCTCAGGTAAAATGACTGAGAGACGCGATGTAGACGTAGGACTACTATATGAGTAGCCCCATAGGTAAAGTTTAAGAATGTCACCTATAAATGAGCATATAATAGTGATAATGGCATGCACTGGGGTGGAAATAGCGATAATGGCATGCGCTAGGGTGGAGGAAACACACAGCTTGACAGTAATGTTTGGTAGCTCCAAAGCAAAACAGACATATCTGTACTTGTATTAGGGGAGAAAAGCAAGTGAGATTCCCATTTCATTTCTTATACAGCCCTACACATTTTGAAACTATAACAATGTCTTGTACGTTATCCAAACCGCTAACAAATTATCCCAGCAGTGTCAAATTCCATACCCAGCTGGTAAATGATCCAGACCCGGCGGGTATCAGTCTCAGAC